AAGAAGAGAAAATTTGGGCATATAATCTCCAAGTTCTTCTGTATTTAAATACAGTTAGTATGATTGTACATGCTGGAAGATCTACGTGAGTTTGCTTTCTAGTACACTTTCTGAGAAAGCGTGTTTTAAGGTAAACTGAGGCAATGAGTTGTCTCTATGACAGTGGGAAGCAAGGCAGAGATAGCTAAAGGAACAGAGAAGTTAGGTGAGGACAAATAACAGGGTATTAAGCTGAGGAATTCATAATGAGCTTCTTTTACTAAAACATGAGAGAGAGAGAAGCAAGCTAGAAAAATTGATAAATGTAAAATAGGAGGGAGACCTAGACAGGTCATAGCTACCTTACAATGTCTGCTTCTGCCAGGGACTTGTACTCTATCTGCATACCCAGTAGGAAAGAACAATTCTAACTCTCTGCATTATGACAGGAACTGAAAGGTACGGAACAGTACAGCACAGGAATTCAGGTACATAGGTTATTTTGTCAAAATGAAAACACCGATAAATAATCAGCACCCTATCATGAACCATCTGCTGCTGCCTGTCAGATAGTGCTCCTTTTTCACTCCTTCCCCAGCAATTTCTACTTTTCTTTTTGTCTTTGAAGCTATCTTAATAACAAAAGCACAATCTCCATGTTTCTGGAGAGTGAGTGAATGTTTACATTTCACCATGATGCTACTGTCAGATTGTCCTGATAACAAACCTGCAGTTGTCACATTTCCATCTTAGACTTCCTGACTCAGAATAGATTTGCAGATCACATATTTGGAGGAGGAGAAGCTGCACCACTGAGTCATACTAGGATTAGAAGATAATGTTCCTAAACAAAGCAACTGATTTAAGAAGTAAAAGAAATTGCCACATATTGCAAGGAGTAACTTGGAAAAATTCCCTTCTTAATTAAAGGTGACAGAACTGCTACAGTTTATTACTGACTTCTGAGGCTCAGTAGTGATCAGAGACTCAGGATCTGGAAAACAACCTTTCACATAGGCCACGCATTGGCTGGGAGCCACTTAGCAAGGTGGTGCCTCTAGAAAAAAGCTTTCGTGGCTTTGCCCCTGACTCATTTCCTAAACATGGCCTGCAAAAATCATCCAGGAGGGGACTTAATTACAGGGAGATGAACATCGTGGCTACTGTCTCCATCCCACTGAGCTCACCATCTTGGGTCTGGGACAGCTATTGGCCTCCTCATGCTTATAAGTGTTCTTTTCTGAGTGGTTTCAAACTTTAAAGTACATTCAAAAAATTGTGACAGCATTGTTATGGTTTAGAGCTAAGTTGTCTGAAAAGTGTCATGTGTTCAGAGGTGGGGATTTTGAAAGGTAATTTGATCATGGGGACACTAAACTCATAGTTCCTAGCTGAATGTGTTATTAGGAGGTGGGGCCAGGTTGGAGGTGGGTCACTGCGGGTGTGAGCTGGAAGGATGTATCTTGATCTTCATTCCTCCCTTCTCTCTCTGCCTCCTGACTGCCATGGGTTGTGTAGCTTTTCTCCACCAGATCCTTCCACCATGGTATTCCTGCCCGGGAGCCAACCAACCATGGACTGAATCCTTTGCAATGTGAGCCAAAATAAACCTCTCCTTTAAATTGGAGGTGTCAGTATTGCAGATAGCTAAGTTAGCTAGAAATTATTATAAGGCAATTAGACAAAGCTGGGCCCTCAGGATAGAAAAACAATAGAGGCACGTTCACTGGGTGGCATTATAAAAAGAAAAGAGGTACTACTTCCCCTAGAGATGAATAGCAATGGTTGATACTCTAAATACACATTACTCTCCCTAGCCCATTTTCTTTCTAGAAATTCCTTGTACGTGACTTGTTTTCCCATTTGATCCCCATTTAATCAATATTACCTGGGTGACTGTACTTGTAATCTTATCGGTAATCACGGTTTTGTCTCACCTCATGCCCTCCTTGCAATTTTCCATTGGGTCTTATAGTTTTTTGGGTTTTTTTGGGGGGGGTCTTATAGTTTTGTCTCACCTTGTACTTGCCTCACCTCATGGCTTTGCTCAATAAATCGCCTTTGAAAATCAGGGTAGGTGGGCAACCCATTTTCCAGTCCCAATTCTGTTTCTCTTAGACAAAAGCTATCTTTCTCTTAATAATTTTTTACTTAACCTCCATTGTTCCTAGAATTCATTCTTTAATTTTAGAGAACATGAACTCACATTTTAGATATCTAGCAGGTTTGAGCGTTACATGTATTACCTCTATATCAGCAGGAACTTTGTTGCAGTGACAGAAAGGTGACTAATCCAAGTGTTTACCTTAACATGACCCTGATCATGACAGTAGTCATGGTATTCATTAACAGAATGCCAGATCTCTAGTAGGCACTGTAGACATTCTATTCTCTACTTTCAGCAGCAAATGTTTATCCCTTGCTCCTTACTTGGAAGGAAGGGAACATGCACTGCTCAATCTTGAGCATCCCACAGGCCTACTCACCTACAGAAAAGACATGCCCTGGTCTGCTCTTCCTTTCATGAGCTCCTAGGGCTGTTTCCATCAAAGTAGCTGAGTACATCTGCATTTGCTCATGAAGGAATAGAGGTCAAGTATTTTATATTCAGCAAGGGGCCAGAATGAGCAGATGCTCTGGTATAATTACATTAGGAATAAAGCTAATGTTTTGACTTCCACCTACTTATAGCCCTATCTTCTCTGGTAGTTTTGATCTGACTGAGGGTAACTGTAGTGTCTTTACTTATCCCATGGACCCCCAACTCTCACACGGTTGGTGTACAGTCATGGAAGTGCAGATCTCTTTCTAAGGGAGAAGCTGCTGCTATGACACAAGTTAGCTGACAGCATTTAGAGGTTGCATTCTGGGGATTCATTGCAGCACTGTGTTCATATCAGTGCTGCTTTCTCCCCATGCTGCTTGCAGGGCCACCAACCAAGCAAGGGCCCAGAGCCCAGCTATTCCTGCTCAATGCAGGGCTCCCCCTGTGGTCAGTCCTTGCCCTGGGCCTCGCCAAACTTTCTGAAACTGTGCTGCAGACCAAGGATTTTCCTAGCTAATACTCTTTCTTTCTCTCTTCACCAACTCCTGCTCTCTCTGCCCCCCCACCACTTTATCTTTCACAGGTACCCTATCCAATAAACATTTTGTGCTTTTACTTCCGTGGTGGTATATTCTTCCCTCAAGACCCAAACTGACAGCATCAGTATCATTATACTCTCCATTGCCCCGAGGAAGAGATGCAATGCCACGCAAGAAAGGAGAAGACATAAATATGCTCTCTTTTAAAAGTTGATGCATATACTTAGGATTGAGGGTCTCTGGGAAAAAATACCCCATTTACATTTGAAAAAAAATTGAATGTCAACATCATTTCTTCATAAAAGTGAGCCCAATTGGACCTGTCTATCCAGTGCAAGAATACAAAGATATATTGGCTTCAAGAAAAGGAAAGAGAACATTAAAAACAGGAAACATCTCCAGCACCCACTGCTGAGATTTGGCTCTGAAAAGACTCCTAATGTGTTCACAAGATAAACAAATTATGTTAACAAACAGCTACCACACTGGCCACTATGTATAGCTCTTGACCGCCACCTTCATGTAGTTTCAAAACATATGGTTTTGAAGCACTGCCTCCAATTTCTCACTTCGCAGAGATAGAAAATACATCAAACTAAGAAAACAGATTTTTAAAATTTATTTTTTACCTAACAACAACCACAATAACAACAACTCTAAATCTGATTTTCTATCCTCATGCACAGAGATATTGAACATATCAGGAAAGGATAATAGAGTTTCTCTGTGATCTTTGAATCCTTAGGAATGTCTGAACATGAAAGTATACACATAATTTAAAAACTAAGTGAAGTTTCTTTTCATGGCATAATTTTCTAAAGGAAGGATAGGACAGGACTTACCTTCACTAGAGTCTTTTGAACATTCTGGCTTCTTTGCTTTGCTCTTCTTATGGGGTGGAGAGAGACCTTTTGGCTCTAGCCCTTCTGGAAGTACAAAGATTGAATATATTCTTATTTAAATATTTACTAATATGGTTCAAAACTGTGTTGAAGTTTAAAGATGTTTTCTTCTCATTAAACCCCCCCACACACTGAATCATAATTGCAGTTTCATTTGTCATCATGGCTGAGCTAAATTTTGGCAAAGACTTGTGATTCTCCAGCCTACATATACTTAAATTTAAGGCGTGAGCTAAAACATTTTTTGTAGACATCATTCATGACTCACACAATTGTTAAATTTCACACAAATGCTTTAAAAATTATCTAAAAGGGAACCCCAAATGATTTCACTTTCTCCAAGAGAACATGACTTAAAATTTCATGGATTCATCGATAGTTGTCATTGCACATTTCCTCTTGCTGAGCCCTCAAAGTAGAGCTAGATGAAATGCAAACTCATCTCATTTTTTGAGGGATGGGATGGGGCTTGAAATTATCCTGCTTCTATTTAACAGACTTCTTTAGCAATACAGATCCTAAACAACTTCCATATGTCCCCAATTCAACTGTAATGCTCCCCATTTTCCTCAATGTTTCTCTAAGTCTATTCATGGCAGCTACTAAATTGAACCCCGATGACAGCTTTAGGAAAATGTTTCTAAATTCATCTTGTTTGGATATAGCATATTTTGTTAGGCGTCAGTTCATATTTCCAGTCCTAATCTTTCCACTGAGTCCAAAGCTGATATCTTCAATTGCCTACATGGTGTCTTGTTTTGAATTTGAAGTTGGATTGCTTGTCTGCCCTTTAACATCTCTTTCTGTGCTCTAGGAGATGAAACCCTCTGGAGTGCAAGAATGAACTCTTTAGCTCTCTGGTTCCACCTTCTAGGTGTAGCCAATGGGAAGCCAAGGGGTTTGACTTTCTAGAATCCTGGAGTCTTCACAGTCTGTGGTATCCCTCAATCCAAAATTATAAGCCCTACCAGTGAAACGTCCTCTGCATGGCTCTCCTTCTAGCCCTAATGGCTTCTTTTCACTTAACTGCCACCAGGCATTTCAAACTTAACATCAGCCAGAGCAGTACATTTGGGGTCTGAAAACCTCCACATTATTCTACATCTCAAGCAATGGGATGATACGCTACCTACCCAGGAATTTACACCAAAGCTGAGATGTCATCATCAATATTTCTCCTCACTTACTTTTCTACACCAAACAATCCCATAAGCTTTGCTCGAATATATTTCCCATACTCATCTCCTATGCTCAGCCTTTGTAATCATCATGGTCACTCAAACCAGCAGCATCTCTTTCCTGGATTACAATAATAACCTAAATTCTAACCTATAATCTTCCTGCAATTTATTCACCACACAGCAGCAAGTATGACCTTTCAAAACATTAATCAGATTGGATTACTTGGCTCTTTAAAAATCATTACTTAGAATAAGATCCTAATCTAATTCCATGGCCTGGCACATGTCACTTGGGCCCCACCTACTGCTCTAGCCTCATCTTTCCCTTGCTCTTTGGCTCTAGATTTATTAGCCTACTTTGTGTTCCTCAATCACAGTGGGCCTAGTTCCTACCTCAGGATCTTTGTACCTGCTGCTGTATCTTGTATCCCCCACCCTCCAACACATATATTCAAATGCCCTTCCTTCTCACACTTTGAATCTCAGATCAAATCCAACTCTGAGGAAAGACCTTCCCTGATTACCTAACCGGAAGGAATCTTACAAGGGAAATCTCTCTTAAATACATCACTTGTATCTGAATTATCTTGCTCTTTTGTTTATTTCTTTCTTGTATCTTAACCTCCCATACCAGGAATGTTAAGCTTCATGAAAAAAAAAAAAGCATTTGTCCTTCTTAATTCCTCTTATATTCCTCTTAATTCCTCCTGGCAGAACCATGGGAATTTCATTTTAAATTCTATTTTAGGTTTGCTTTGCCCAGCCCAAGCTTTTAAGGCCAAGATATAACAGGTCCCAGTCTTAACTCTCCCTCTCCTGGCGGCTACCATCTCATGCCAGGATTCTAAAATTACACTATAGGGTTATGGCGACTCATTTCACTTTTCCCATTTATTATAAAAGGAACAGAACAACAACAGAAAACCTCCCCATGTTTGATAGATGTGCTATTAAAAATGCTGGCATTATGGACTGCAAAGGTTTTGGGCACTGGGCTGGGTGTTCTGTAGCTGCAAGTCAGTCACATCTAAGGTCATTACCATGGCCAGGGTGAAAACTTTTGCCAGCGACTGCAGCAACCCCCCCTCAAACTTCTGTCACCAGGTGTGAGATGTATGTTGACCCTTGAAGTGGGTTCAGCAAAAACATAAATGAGATACGTGGAACAGCTCACTGAGCACAAATAGTGGGCTCAAAGAGATTCATAAAATGGGCAAGGCGACATTTGCAGGCTCCATGGAGAAATCTCTAATTCTTCTGTGCCCCTGAAATGTGATGGCTACAGCTGGGATGAGGAAGAGAATTTCCAGTGCTGGAAATTCAACTCCAAGCCAGCATGTCTTGAGATGAACATTTTGTGCATTTAATTCCTAATTCTTGATTTCCTGACTGAATAGGAATTCTTAGGTAAGATTTTAAATGACAGCTATTTTGCCACATTTTAAGATAGTTAAAACATCCCCCAAATTACTGACGTTTCATTTTTGCAAAAATTGTTGGGTCTTCACAGGGTCATTAGTGGGTGGGAGGCCTATTTAATTGTGACGTATCTATGACAGGAGTATTGTATTATTTTTTGAAACTCAACCAGGGCATTCAAATGAAAGTCAGTCATAGTTTTTGCCTCTGTGCCCAGGTGTCCACTTGTGGCAAGGCAGGAACAGCTCTCCCATTTGGCCTCCAGGAGCTCGTGGGCAGTTGTTTCTGCTTCTCCTCCAAGGTGTCCCTGCTTCTCTTTGACAGTGGAACTGCGTTTTCTAGGTTGCTTCTGTTCTTGGCAAAGAGTAGGAACCTGAAGTTTTGCCACAAGCATGGCTTCGCCCCCTGGGGAACTCAGCTATGTACCCAGCACTGTGTCTTAGCTGCCATAGGTAGTTGCTGATTTTCTGTCCCTACTGGCTCAGCCTGGGGCTGATGTCAACACTGCCTAGTCATGGGATTGAAAGGGCATGGGAAAATATTTACTATGCCAGGACAAAAGGACTTAGAAGGAATACTAGGCATTGAAGCTAGCCTGTTTCTTCTACCTCCCATAGGGACAATGCCTCATCATGAGGATTACCTTGTCTGACACCATTTGAGGTGTGCTTGCTTCTATTTACTATGAGAGTCTGGAGACAGATGCAAGAAAATTATGAACATGAGCCCAGGGGTCAGTCAAACCTGGATTCAAATTCTGGCTGTGCTACTTAAGCAAGAACTCATCCTGTTTAAGCCTGAATAATAACATAGTGTTGTAACACATAGGAAATGAGTTCATGTGTGCCAACTGATTGGCACAGAGTACATGTTTGATTAAACTCTGGCTCAGCAGGGGTGTGTTGACACTGACCTCAGCTGACTCATACCAATTAATTGGACCATTTCTCCCCAATCTCACAATCACTGGTCTCATTTTGGTAGTCTGAAAAAGACCACTGTATGTGTGTTTACACCATAGAAATCTGCAAACTTTCCTTATGAGAGACATCTCTACTCAGAGAGTCAATTTGCTAGCAACCACTGGTTTTAGGTATTTGTTATGCACTACAATTCATCAGCATTTCTGGGCAGGTTGATTCCCTTGAGCAGCCCTTCATCAGTGTGGACTGCAATCTTAAAAATACCTTCAGCATTCTTATTTACATGAGAAGAGGTGATGCATGATGGAGGGAAGGTAGAGGTTAACAGTCTTGGGAAGCTGGTTCAGACTCATCCAGAGATTTTTATGAAGCCAGCCTGCATGCATATATGGCAGGGCCAGCTGGCTTGCTTTGGAACTTCACAACACAGATCTTCCATGATTTCAGCCCTCAGATACTAGGAAATGGAGAGCAGCTCCCTAAGCCCACTCTGCCTGAGTGGCTTAGCATCTTGGGGCTATTGAGTGTGATTTGAACAGCTGTGCCCAGCTGATAGAGATAAAACTCCCAGGAAATCTGGGGGGAATAAAATTAGAAATGATGATCCTATGAAGGCCCACAAACCTCAAATGCTGTCTCTAACCTTGTGAACTCTGCACTAACATTAACAATGATTTCCTTAAAATTACTCAGTGGTTTGGATAACTACTTAAATATCATTAAGAAATCAATTTCCTTTGCATGTGTACTTATGGCACATAGGCAAATGACCCATGGCAAGAAAAGGTTCTTATCCTGGGGAGCTGAGAAGGCAGCACCTCTATGAATTAAAGACATTACAATATGCTCTGTGTGAGCAGGAGAAATGGGAACAATGAAGATTAACATTAAATTTGTGGATTCTAATCCAATGCAGAGTGACCATTTAAAGCCTTTTTTTAAAAATCAATTTCAAAGTTCTTTTTAACACTAAGACATTTTTAATAGAAAATTAGCCTTGTGCTTTATGGTTTACAAAAAGTAAGCAGAGTTCTTGTCTTAGGTTGGATTGTTTTAGATGCAGATGCTGAGACAAAGGTTTGAGTATAAGCAGTTAATTTGACAGATTATCCCAGGAAACATCAGAAAAGGGAGGAGGGAAGTGAGATAAGAAAAGGAAGGCAGCCAAACCTGGGGGTATTAATGAGCAAGTCCCACTATGGGGATCCAGGGCTCAATTCTTCTGGAGACCTGGGGTGATAGTATAAAATCATGATGTGTAATACTACAGCCACTAGCCACATATTATTGATGTGTACATGAAATGTGTCTAGTCTGATTTCAGATGTGAATGTTAAACACTCACCAGTGTCAAGGGCTTAGTATTAAAATATAAGGTAAAATATCTGATTAAAATAATTTCTACATACTATATATTCAAATTATAATATTTTGGGTTATAGTGTTAAAAAAGTACTATAAAAATTAATTTCACTTGTTTCTTTTTGTCTGTACCGGGGATCGAACTCAGGATCTTGTGCTTGCAAGGCAGGCAGCAGAATCACTGAGCTAAATCCCCAGCCCTCTTTTGTTTTTTAATGTGACTAATAGAAAGTCTAGAATTATACAAGAGGCTCACATTATACATCCTCAGCTATATATGTGAGGTTCAAATTACATTTCTATGGAAAGTCCTGGAATGGAACTTGCCCCATGTGTGTCCTCCAGGGCTGTTGATCACCCATCTCTTGTCTACCACTGACTGTGGGGCTACTTCAGATAAATTCTCTCCCTGGTACTTTGAGTTTACTTTCATGACTAGAGACAAGCACTCAGCAGAGTTATGAGAACTTTCCTTAGAAAGGTGATTTTGCGAAACAATTGGTACCCAAGGGACATGGGTAAGGCACCTATAGCTTCTACTAGTCTTTCATCTCCTTCATCCTACTTCTGACTTGTTGGGCTTCTACCTACTTCTCATGCTGTCTGAACCTGCTGTCTTTGGGGAGACCAAGAGAACCTTGCAGATCAGACATGTCTGGACTGGAGAAGAGGAAGTAGAAGCTTCAATCATTGTTCCAGCTAACTTTTACAAAGAAAAGGAACTCATGTTATTTTTTCATGAAGATGGTGGATGGTTATAGGAAGGAGAAAAATTTAATTTAACAAGGCGAAATTCTCTTTTTACCAACCCTTACCAAGTGTGATCCACCAGGTCAGAATTGGAAGAGTTCCCTGTTTGCAGAGCTGCTGAGACTCAGCTTGTCATTGGTTTGCAAGGGGGTTCTGGAATTGAGTGAGAGGTACAAAAGAAGAACCTCTAAGGTAGCTATTTTAATTTTGAAATCTGTCTCTTTTTCATGACTAAAGTGGTATGTTTGTTGAAATGGGGAATATGGGGCACTTAATTGTAGAATTAAGTTCTATATTCTTCCAATATTTGTTAGAACGAGAGAGAAAAGAAGCAATAATGTATTGAATCTTCACTGTGGGTCAAGCACTGTGACGAATACTTAAATTACGATATCTCATTTAATCCATCAAATGAAGCACAACGGTGAGAATTATTGCTTTCAGAAGTGTAAAGTAAACTTTATAGAAAGGAACACTTTGTCACAGTCAGTCAGAAAATGATGTAGCTAGAATTGAAGGTCTATCAGTTCCTGAATTCATTATTAGGGATATATTGAGTGACTATCTTAGGCCAGAACTCATAGTCTTAAGCACTGGATTTCCCTTAAAACAATGACCTTTACAGAGAAGTTGCCATGCACCTTTATCTCTGATGAGAACAATATGTCCTAAGGAAAGAAGGGAATGGAATTAATATGAGAAAATGAAAAAATGGAAACAAAGTCTTTGCAAATAGGGAGAGATGGAGGGGTTGAAGGGAGGCCAGGGGAAGGGTGAAAATAAGAACCAAGAGAGATTATGTAAAGGTGCAAATTTCCAATGATAAATGTCATTATATTGTATACCTAAATTGTACCAATAAAAGAAAGAAAATGTATAGCCATAGATGGCTACAGTGACAGTTTAGATCTCACATGCTTTGCAGAGCCACTCCCCATCAAGAGGTTCAGTTTATTTTTATTTCTCCTAAGTGTGGGTAGACTTGTGACTGTTCCAAAGAATAGATCTCAGTGGAAGGGATGCTATGGAACTTCTAAGCTTCGGTCTTCAAAAGGACACAACTTTACCTTGGGTCATTCTTTTGAGAGAAACTTAATTGGTCACCAATACTCTGAGAAAGCCCAGGTCACATAAAGAGGCCATGTACAAGTATTTCAGTACACTGTCGCAAACCAAGGCTTTAGCTAGTAGCTAGAATCAATCACCAGTCAGCCAAATGAGTGGGTGAATTTTCAGATGAGCCCTACCCCCCAGCTGTGGAGGCTTCCTGGTGAGCCTCAGACCTAGTGGAGCAGGATGATCAAGTTTTCTCTGCTGTTCTGTGTGAACTGCTCACACATAGAATATATGAAGATCATAAGTTTTAAGCACCAGGGTGTGAGGGTGATTTATTATGCAACTCTATTAACTACAACATCATGTTATATTTTTTACCTTAGCTGTCAGGAAGCTCAAAATCCAATTTAAATATATTAACTGTATTTACCTGAAGAGTTAGCACAGTGCTCCTTGTTTTATGACATCCAGGATATATTTTTAAATCTTATTTTGTCTTTTTGAAAAAAAATATGGAATATACATTAACCAAAAAGTGACCCTTGCTTAATGCAAGTAATAAGATTAAACATTTAATACCTGATTCTTCTTTCATGTCAGCATCTTCTTCTTCATTATTATCATCTATTGAAATAGGAGAAGATAAAGAAAGACCCGTATAAAAGTTGGAAACACTGAAATTTTCAATTTCACTAATTTCACTAATAAAATAGTGGGAAAAAAGTTTGGCAAAAAAGAGACTGTTAAAGCTTGCATTTCTGTGATATTAACATGTGGAGTTAAGAATACATACATATTAGAGCACAATTTCACACCATGGGTTTAAATTTTCTTTTTAGAAAGTTATATATTTATAATAAATTATATATCCAATAATTTGTTTTGCTTATACAAGTTATATATGGGGATAGCAGTCATTTAATTCTTCAAAATTGTGAATCACAGAGTAAATATCACATTTTTCTACACGTTCTAAAGATATGAATGCCCATCTCAAATACTGGATAAATGTAGAGATTATCATTTGGCTGCATGTCAAGCACATACACATTTCAAATCCTTGCATTGTGCAGTAAAAAGAGCTGTTTTACTGTCCCTGTAAATCCAAACACTTAACTATGTGGTTTTACACTTCCTGTCTGATTCTTCTGCTCTATTGACAACACACTTGCTCTTTTCAACTACTGACATCTCTTACCTTGAGTGTCCCCTTGTACGGGGTTGTGGTTTGAATGTCTATGTCCTTCCCCCAAATTCATCTGTTCAAAACCTAACCCCAAGGTGATGTGACTAGGAAGTGGGGTCTTTGGGAGGTGATTCAACCTCAGAGGTGCAATCCTCATGAGTGGGATTTGTACCCTTAGAGAAGAGTCCCAAGAAAGACCCCTCACCACTTTGCCTACTTTGCCCACTAGAGAGTCTTTCTAGAACACCTTCTGCCATATGAAGACCTGGGGAGAAGACCACCTTCTTCAAGGAATTGAGCCCTCCCCAGCCACTGAATCTGCAGAAACTTTGGTCTTGGGGATTCCAGGCTCTAGAACTGTGAAAAATAAATTTCTGTTGTTTATAAACCACCCAGTCTATGGCAATAGCCCAAATGGATGAAAAAATCAGTCAGTTCCAAGTCCTGTCTTCTTTCTAGGTTTGTTCCTTTCTGCTCATATTATGGCAACCTAGGGTGTGGCTCCCAGAACCCTTTGCTTAGGTATCTTAGAAGTTTCCTAATTTCTTTTCTGTTTTACACCCTCCTGACTCCCATTTCTTTCACATGTAGCTGCCAAATCAACCTTAAAATACAGTTCTGATCTAGTTCACAACCATAGAGCAACTACTCTCTGTCTAATGAGAAAAGTCTAGACTCACCTGGTGACACTCAAAGTCAACAATATCTGTTCTAAGCAGTTTGCCCACTACCACAACATACTTGAAGCTTTATAAAGAGGTTTATCCAGCTCACAATTTTAGAGGTTTAAAGTGGAAGAGCTGGAGGCCCAATCTCTTCTGCTTTTGGTGAGGGGATTCTGGCATGTCACAATATAGTGATGGTAATGTGGTACAAGTAAAGTGTATGCAGAAGAGCTCACATGGTGAGAGAGGAAACATGAGCGGGGGACCAGGCTACCTTATAACAACCCAATCTCCTGAGAGCTAACGTAGTCCTGTGAGAACTACATTAATCCCTTCCTGAGATGGTGTTCCTGTGATTAAGTATCTCTTAAAGGTCCTACCACCTTAGCACCATTATTTGGGGATCCAGCTTCTAGATTCTTCAGAGAAGAAACTACTGCATCCAAACAATAGCATCCCCCCTGGCTTCCTCTACCTGCCTTACTCCTGCTAACAACATCCTCCTCCATCCCTATTCACTCTCATCCTTCAAGGCCAAGATTAGATTCTTGAATGGAGGTAAGCAGATATTAATATACAAACAACAGGCAGCTAAACCAGAGAAAAAGTACCTATGAAGTCTTCCCTGAGCATCTGGTGATTCAGATTTGAATGAACCATGTTTTTTCAGGTGTACCTTATTTTTGGTATATCTTATTCTGAGTACGAACTTTAAGGACATTTGGGCTGAGGCCTGTAAATTGGCCCCTCAACACATCCATTCTGTAAGCATGTGATCTTGGAGAAATTACCGAATCTTCCTGAGTTTCAGGTTCATCAGCTGTACAGTGGGATGATTATAATGCCTACTACTCAGAGTTGCTATAAGCATTCAATGAAATAGTGCCACATAAAGCACCAGGATAGTTACTGAAGTGCTTAGCATTAGCTACTATTACCACAAAGTTATAAGTTTAGTTACTTATCAACATATCTGTCTCCTATATGCCCATTTCCAGATCATGAATTCTGTAGGAAAAAGACCACGTCTTACATTGCTTATATTCCTTGGTACCTAATGCCACTCATTTCATGTAATAGAATCCACAAATACATTTCCACTGAGTGACCCACCCAATATAATTATGCAGTCTTGGATCTTGGGCAAATAACATAAAACAGTATACTGAAAAACAGGGAAAACAAAATTACCAACATTCTATCATTGATAACATATACAAAGGCTTGCAAAGAATGAACATTAAATACTGATAATTGCTTTTATGATGTCATTATTATTACTCTTGTTACTTTAACAAAAATTTATTGAGCTTTACCATGTGTAAAAATTATGCTAGGCCTTGATGATACAGGTTAATGATCCCTACCCTCAAGAAAATCATAAAGTGGGTGAGACAGAACAGCAAGATAATAAACAAGGTTCTACTGGGAAAATGACACAAGGCACCAAAGTCAGAAAGTCATTGGCGGCTCTGCAGAGGAGGTGGAGTTTCACCTGAGTCTTAAAGGGTGAGCTGAGTTCAGCTAAATGAAAAGAGGAGCTGCAGGAAATGCCTCAAAAATGTGGGTTGCCTGTCTACATCTGCTGGTTTCTTGACATCTCAGTAAATATGCCAGCCAACTTACAGCCTCTAACTCCCAGGTCCCCTGCCTAAGAGCATTCTCTGGTCTCCAGCCCACTCAATAAATACCAGGGAATTAAATCTTCCTGGGGCCAGCTGTGCAAAAATGAGTGGCAGGACTGGCATATCAGGATCCCAACTCCATGGCAGTATGGGCTCATTCAATAATATTCCGAGCTTGTTCCACACCATCTCCCTAAGTGCCCCTCTCCCCATTGGTCTTGAGCCCCAGATATGTGGTGTCAGCTGGTTTATAATTTAATCTTTTTGCTCCTCCTCCCTCCCCTGCCTCACTTCTTCACTCTCCCTGGGATCACCTCCTAAATAAAGTGCTTCCACTTGATCTTTACTTCACAATATTCTTCCTAGAGAATTTGAACCAAAGAAAGGGTCATCAAACCTAACAAAAGGAAAAAATACGTGCATATACATGTATGTGAATAGTCAAGAGGCATTCAAGGAAACAAAACTAGCTCTGAAAGGCTAAAGGAAGGAGTTATATTAGAAATTATAGCTAAGGTGATCTTTTCTAGGTACAGGTCCTCCACACCAGGCATGCTGGTTAATTTTGTGAGCCAGTGTGACTAGACCACACAGAGCCAAACATTATTTTAATGTGCCTGCGAGGGTAGTTCTGGGGGAGATAACATCTGAATAATAAACTGAGTGAAGCAGATTGCTCTTACCACTGTGAGAGAGCATCATTCATCCAGGTGAAGGCCTAGATAGAACACAAAGCCTGACTCTTTCAGCAGTTAGAGAGATTCTTCTCTTACTGCCTTCCTAGTTGGACATTGGGGTTTTTTTGTTTGTTTTTTTTTCTTAAATTCTTTTATTGGTACATTTTAGGTATACAATACATTTATATTTATCTTTGGGTGCTTGTACCTGTACATGATGTATCTTGGTTCTTATTTTTTCCCCATTACCTGTGCGGCCTTCACCTGTAAACCTTTCCCTATTTACATTCTTTGTTTCCTTTTTTTTTCTTTTCTCATAATTTTTCCTTTCCATTCTTTCCTTTCC